GCATCTTCACAGTGTCAGTTCAAATTAACCACTGTCAATTATTGATTTCATGGCATCTTCACAGTGTCAGTTCAAATTAACCACTGTCAATTATTTATTTCATGACATCTTCACAGTGTCAGTTAACATTAACCACTGTCAATTATTTATTTTGGGACATCTTCACAGTGTCAGTTCAAGTTAACCACTGTCAATTATTTATTTCTTCCTGTCTACTCTCCTGTAACAATTCAGGATATAATTTTTACTAACCTTAAAACAATAACATAATTTATAAAGACTAGTTTATGAAAATTATTTTTCTACAAAATTTTGATTAGGATGTGAGCTGTATTTATTTTCATATTTCTACTGAACTGTTACCTGATTTTTGTTTTAGTTAAGATTCTTTCAGTGAATATATAATTTCACCTGAATGTGTTTCTACTAGCAACCAAACTGGGGCCCGAAACTTTCCGTTTCACAGAAGACGTTGAAGCTGAAGCTGTAAAACAGAATGAGAAGTATTACATAGAGAGACCAGAGACTGTTGAAACTTACTTTTACCTGTGGAGACTCACACATGATCCAATATACCGTGACTGGGGCTGGGAAACTGCTCAAGTTAGTTCTTTAATAATTTAAAGTCTTGTTATAGAAGATAAAGCTTTTTATTTGTAAGGGATAAATTTTGAACTTAAGTACAGTGGACAAAATATCCAGGTATGCATCACAATTTGGGAATTAAAACAACACCAGTTGCAAATCACTTTCCATTTTCCTTTTTGCTTAACATAACATTTCCTGTCATTCCTTTTTCTTGTATGTTGTTTTCGAGACCTCCAAGAACACATTGAAAGTGCCATTACATTTCAGTTTGATAGAACAAAGCCAAAGCTGATGTTAATTTTTTGGAAATTCCCACAAAATGGTATATACAGTATTTTTCATACTTTGTCATGCCCATATCGCATACATGTACATTTTTTAGTAGTCTGTTTATAAAATTTGGAATGCACCCAGTTGGTGCCCACAACCTAGCCAACTAGACTATGACATACGTGCAGTACATGCACTGCACATTTAGCTCTGATATAGCTTTGAACTCTCTCAATACTTGACCATTTTTACTTGTATATAGTTTTAATACCATAATTTTTAATACAGTACATGTATCTTCACAAAATTTGACAGACTTTTAGTAAACATTACAAGTCATATGTATACAAAATCAGTTTTCAATGAAGTATTTTTACTCAAGATTTGTCCAAGAATATATCAAGTCTATTTTGACCAGTCCGAGTGCAAAATGATTTTCATGTTTTCATCTGAAAAATCTCATATACTACTTGCATGATGTCTAAAACCTTCTAAATACATTTCAAACGTTTTTTTCAGTAATACTTTATATTTTATTGTTATTATTTTCTCTATGCTAACTTTGTATAAGGTTAGTCAATTTGACCAAACTCGTAAACCCCTCCAAAAGTATTCAGAAATATATCAAATTTTCCGTTTTTTCTTTCTAGAATGATTTCAAATTGTAACATGAAACTACATTTGTTTATTCTAAGTAGTTTTAAATATGTAACAGTATATAACTGTCATACTTATTTTATTGTTTTATTGCCCTTTGAACCATGTTTAACTACAAGTACTGTACAATTCTTGCCATTATGATATAAGTTGTTAATCACTTGGAGATTTGTTGGTTTGTTTGGAGTTAAGCACAAAGCTACACAATGGACTATCTGTGCTCTGCCCACCATGGGTATCAAAACCCGGTTTCTAGCGATGTAAGTCTACAGACATGCCACTGGGGGGCTCACTTGGGGTATCTATAACTCATGTTATGCTATCAAATTACATTACCCACGAGCTACTCTAAGCTGCTCACGTGTGTGCCTCGTGAATAATTTGTGTTGTATTTTTATTATTTATTTTATCTAATCTAACCTAAAGAGTTTCCTATTTTTACATTTTAGTTATTTTATAATAATAAATAATGAATACACATGAAAAACAAGAAGAAAAGTACTTACCTGGGCCTTCCTTTTATTTGCTGTCAACTGTCGATAATACTTAACCATACTTTTTATACTAATGGTAGTAGTACACTAAATATTTTTTATTTAATTAAGTAATGCACTAAAGAGCATAGAATAATAGCATTCAAAAAGCAAACAATTCCCAATAACTATCACAATTTTTCTGGCTTTCCAAGCTATTTCTCTGTGTGACGAAAATATTATATTAAGTAACTTACGTTAAATTTGTACTTCTTGGAGGGGTGATAAGTAAATTAGAGAAGAGGGAATGCCTAGAGAAATAATGTCACATTTCTCACACTAGGGGAAATATAGGATTTTTTTTTTAGTATTACCTTATAAAATTAAGAACTTAAAACTTGTATACTATTAAAATATGGATTATTAGCTATGATTTTATGCTATACTAATTGGTATAACATGAACAAGTAAAACCTTGTGACATGGTAAGAAGGATAATTAATTACTGCTGAAAAGTCACTAGACATTTTCTAATTCAAAAAGCCAAGGACACCACGTTGTGAAGATAGTGATGAAATCTCACCAAAAAAAAAGATTAATTTGAAAAACGAATTGTGGCAACCTTGTTCAGTTGAACAAGTCACTTCTTTCTTGTTTCATGTCCTCCATGTGCAACATTTTAAAGGCTTAGCAACCTATGTCAAGCAGCAACCGAGTACAAAGGTCATAACTAGAATAGTAATTGTTTGCTTTACTTCTTTAGTTACTCTTGTTACAATTGTTGCATTATTTTGTGACAACTGAGTGTATTTTGGTATTTCTTGCAGTTTTACTTAATATACCAGTAACTATTTTGATCATGAAATGTCATGTATGGTACAATTAAATATTAGGGTTTGAAGTTGAATAAATATATACCATTTACCTATAATAATGGCTGGAGACGGCTTGAATGG